GGCGCAGTCCAGCACGATGTTGCAGAGGGTCAGGAACTCACAGAAGAGGCAGGAGAGGATGCAGTGGACGCAGCAGTCTGCGGAGGAACGGCCGGAGAGTGGGCAGGGGGCGTGGGCATGGGTGGGTGAGACAGCACCCGGCTGACGGATGCTCAGCCCCGTAAGGGTGGAAATCCTCCCTCAGGAATTAACGGAAGGGATGGGAAGAGGGATTGGGAGCCAGGGGCCTCCCTCAACACCCAGGGACGTGCCCAGCTGCCTGGGACATGTCCAGACCCCAAGGGCAACGAAACTGGTGAGGGGTCTGGAGGACAAGTCTTATAAGGAACGACTGAGGGCACTGGGGGTGTTCAGCCTGGAGAAGGAGAGACCCGAGGGGAGACCTCACTCTCTACAGCTCCCTGAAAGGAGGGTGTACAGAGGTGGAGGCTGACCTCTTCTCCCTGGTGACAAGTGACAGGGTGAGAGGAAATGGGTTCAAGTTATGCCAGGTGAGGTTTAGATTGGATATCAGGATTTTTTTTTTCACGGAAAGGGTTATTAAACATTGGAAGAGGCTGCCCAGGGAGGGGGTGGATTCGCCATCCCTGGAGGTGTTGAAAAAAAGGGTAGAGGTGGTACTTGGGGACATGGTTTAGAAGTGGTTTTGTCAGGATAGGTTAGCGGTTGGATTTGATGATCTTAAAGGTCTCTTCCAACCTCAACAATTCCAGGATTCTATGATTTTGGAGGAGAAGAGATGACCCCACTCAGCACCCACCCTGTAGAAGGACGCCGGGGGGAGAACTCGGCTGGCACCCAGGGCCGGGGGTCCCAGTGGGCTGGAAGGATGCTACTTGAGAGACCCTCAAGGGATGCGGGGCTGGAGGAGAGTGGCTGGAAAGGGACACCCCCCTTGGGGAGAGCCGGTACCTTCTTGCGCCTCAATAGGGATGTGGGAAGAGGCCGACTTGGAGCTGCCCTTGCTCTTCTTGCTGCTCTGGCTGTTGATGGAGTGGTGCGACTGCAGCTTTCGGTGAGGCTTCTGGGTGCTGGGGAGGGGGCGGAAGACCCCATTCCCTGCCTCCCCGTTGGCACTGCCCGGATCGGGCCCCCTCCCGGCGCCGTTCTGCAGCAAGTGGGTGCAGGGGCTGGGGGGCTGCGGGGCTGCTCGCACCTGGGGCTGGCCTGGGGGGGAGAACAGCACGTTAACCCCCTCAAACCCTCCCTGCAGCACTCCGCCGGCAGAGAAACACGTGCCCGGTCCCTTGCTACCACGGAACTCAGTCCCCAGTTGGACATGGGGTGGCCTCGTGGCTGGGAAGACATGATGCTAACAGACGCATGGTCCAAGAGGATGGAGATGCAGACGAAGAGTTGGCTGGAGGGAAGGAGACAGTGGCTCCAGAGAGAGGAAGGGATGAAAAAAGAGCAAGAAATAAAGGCTTGTCATGAAGGACGTGCTGCAACTGCCAAAACTCAGCAGAGGACCTGGAGGAGGAGGTCTCCCGGGGTCCCGGCACTGCTGGCACAGGCAGGAGGGACAAAGCCACTGGGGCTGACCCGGAGCGGGTGCAGAGACACGGCAAAGCACGCTCGCCTCCTGCCAAGTGGGGAAGAGAAAAGCTTGTGGCTGCTTCCAGCTGAGAGCCACCATTCCATGAGCCGCATTCCCACCAGTCCAGGGCACGGCACTGCCGGACGGAGCTCCAGGCGGTCCCCACCTCCCATCACCCCCCGTAAAGCCAGAGAAGATGGAAGTGCCACCGGAGAGCTGGGCTGCTCATCTCCCCAGGACTGCACGAATTGGCTGCTTAATTAAAGGGCTCCCCAGCCTCTGGCTGAACTTTTCTGCAGGATGAGGAAAATAAATATCTGCTCTGGCTGCGCCTCCCTCCAGCCCTCGCGCCCTGCAGCCGTGAGAGAGGCCGGCGGCCCTGCGCCCCGCCGGGACGGTGCCGGAGCCAGCGGCACGGCTCAGCCCTTCGCTCCTGCCCGGCACCGCGTCCTCACGCCACCGTCCTTCTGCGGTGGGGGAGAGGATTGGGAACCCAGCACAGGGGAGGGGGGTTCGAGCATCCCTCCCCCCTTGCAACAACACCCATCGAAGCCACAAATAAAATCCTGCTGTGGCCAAACTTTGGTTTTCCTCTCCCGTGGCAGTAAACAAGGGATGATTCAAGCGAGAGGCTCGAGGGCAAAGGCACCTCCAGCTGCCCGGGAACAGGAGCTGCTTTCTGTGCCGGGGGACCCACAGGGTGGAGGGGGCACAGACGGTCCCTGTCCTGCACCCGCCCTCACCGGCGAAAATAAAATAGATGGAGGTTAAAAAAACACAAGCGCATGGACCCAGCGCCCGGCTTCCGCTCAGGCTCAGACCGCGGAGGAAGGTTTAACCGGGTGCTTGGGTGAAACGCTGCGTCTTTGACGTGCTCTGGGAAGGGAACTTAAAATAACCGGAGCTGAGAGGGAAGAACGGGCTGGAAGCAGGAGGGGTGGGAGAAGGGCAGAAAGGAGAAATGGAAAACAGGTCTTGGATAAAATGGGGTATGTGCGCTCCCCACAAAAAAAAAAACCCAACACAACCCTCCTGGGATGTTGGCTTCCCATGCACCCTTCTCCAGTGCCCTCACCCGAGTGCACCCACTGAGCCGGCACCGAGTGGCACCGACCGGCGGGTGACCACGGTGTCCTCCGGCAGTGTCTGACGGCGGCAAATACTCTGCAGCTTCGAGCTCTGGGTTCCTCCAGGGGTTCGCAGCGGCGTGCAGCTCGCTCGCTTTGGCTTTCCCCATTTCACTGCATTCCTCAGATTAAACTGTTTGTAAATCAAAATCACGCTCCGGCTCCAGCGAGTGGCGGGGAGAGGCAGCCAGCAATCCCCCCTTCTAAGTCAGGAAAAATAGCTTCCATTTTTCAGGAGAGCCTTCAACTCACAGGAGCCCAAAGCTCTTCTAAAAGAGGCATCTTCAACCTGGGGCTGAGGGGGCAGTGATGTATAAAAATCCCTAACGTGGGTGTCAAGGCAGAAGGGGGGGGACGGGACCAGCCCACCCGATGGCCCCCAATACCAGGGTGGGAAACCAGGGCTTTGGGGGAAAGCACTGGCCTTCAGCTCTTCAACGACTAAACACCTCCTGGACACTCCTGTTGTGTTTCACGCCTGAGATAACGCTCCCTCCAGCCGCGGTGTCCCCGGCAATGCTGCGGTGTCCCCGGCACAGCCGCGGTGTCGGCTCAGCGCAGGTTCCCCCATGGCAGCATCACTGGGGCTCGGTGGGCGGATGCCCAGAGCACAGTGGTGCTCGCTCCGCTGTGACCCCCTCCCCGGCCACCAGCTCTGCCAAAGGTCATTTTCCCGAGCCACTAACCGGGCTCGGCCAAACCAGTGCGTTGAGGCTGCCTGAGCAGGTCCACTGCTCGGCTGAAACTCAATCCCCAGAGCCCCAAACCCACAATCCCCACTCCGTTTGCTCCTGAACTATCAGAAGACCAACTTATTTCAGAAGCCCGGCAGGGTTTGACCAGCAGCGCTGAGCCTCGGGGGAGCTGATCCTGGCACCGCTGGCGAAGGACACGACCCTACGCCCGACAGCCCCTCGCTGCCTCC